CCACGGAGGAAAATTTATGAAAGAAACACTGGTTGGGGGGGGGGGGCGTTAGGGCAAATACAATGAGGAACCACGCACTAATTGCTATCATCTATTATCTATATCACATGACAGACTGTACATACTGACAAATGAACAAAACTAGATGTGTGTATAGTTAATGTTGTCTTAGCTTCGTATTTCAACACCGTCACTTACTCGACACAGTGAGCTGCTGTTATCAAGTAGTACTGATGGGCTAAATTCTTGACCAGACTTCCACCACACATGTGATCAGCAGGGTAAGTGGACAGCCGCAGGCTGCACTGAAATATATATTGTATTTCTATGACAAGGGTTGAACCGAATGACTGAATCCGTGGAGTAGCCAATGCCCAGAAGACCTAACACCATACGGCTTAGCCCCGCATGTCTGTTTATGTTACCCTTCCAAAATCTGGTGAGTACACCAAACACGAGTCTTTTCTCAAAAACTGTGCAAACGGATACAAAGAAGACTTGCGTATAGTTAACATTGACATGATCATGCACAGTGACATGGCATAGAGATCACAGTGACATTGCATAGAGATCATGCACAGTGACGTGGCATACAGATTACAGTGACATGGAATAGAGATCACAGTAACATTGCATAGAGATCATGCACAGTGACATGGCATAGAGATCACAGTGACATGGTATGAGATCACAGTGACATGGTATAGAGATCACAGTGACATTGCATAGAGATCATGCACAGTGACATGGCATAGAGATCACAGTGACATGGCATAGAGATCACAGTGACATGGCATAGAGATAACAGTGACATTGCATAGAGATGAACGCACTATATTAACAATGTGTGTAACCAAGCAAACAAGACCCTGGGGTTCTTAAGGCGTAATCTAAAGATTGGCAACTTCTGTGTGAAAGAAAGAGCCTACTAAAACAAAATAATGCGATCAAAATAGAAATTGGAACCAATGATGATTTATGCTGACCGATGAATTATGTTAATCATAGTGTAGCTTTGAATTTCGACTTACTTTAATAAAATCATCACTTCACTACCCATATATTTTGATACTAATGTGTCAAATATTTTTTTTATATCAACGTACAATTTAGTTAGAAATGGAGTATCTAGATTTTTTTTTTTTTAATATTAAAATTTGTTTTTTTTTTTTACTTTCTGGGTTGTTTCCGGCAACTAGCTTAACAGGTAAGACTACAGGTAAGACTACGGGTAAGACTACAAGTATGAATACAGGTAATACTACATCTAAGACTACATCTAAGACTACAGGTAAGACTACAAGTATGAATACAGGTAATACTACATCTAATACTACATCTAAGACTACAGGTAAGACTACGGGTAAGACTACAAGTATGAATACAGGTAATACTACATCTAAGACTACAGGTAAGACTACAGGTAAGACTACAGGTAAGACTACAGGTAAGACTACAGGTAAGACTACAGGTAAGACTACAGGTAAGACTACAGGTAAGTTGGCGCAGAAAGCGGACGTTTAATACAGCGCCGAGAGGGGGGGGGGCTGTTGTCTCCCGTCTTCGGATATTCAATTTTATAGCTCTGTGTTTAATACCATGAGTTTTATAGCTCTGTGTTTAATACTATGAGTTTCATAGCTCTGTGTTTAATACCCCACTCACCCAACACCATTTTCCCCAAGAGTACCCGCCTAACTGAGCCGACGACTCAAATTTCCAAATCCCCTGTAGATTTAATCATAGATGAGACCCGGGTTTCTTTCAGCTATACCTCCGTGGGGCGGGGGGGGGGCGGGCGGGGGGGGGGAAGCCAAGTGCCCCATCGGAGCAAAAATATGTCCAACAATAAATNTGTATGTCACCAGGTCATGCATAGATGAAGAGTTATGTATGTCACCAGGTCATGCATAGATGAAGAGTTATGTATGTCACCAGGTCATGCATAGATGAAGAGTTATGTATGTCACCAGGTCATGCATAGATGAAGAGTTATGTATGTCACCAGGTCATGCATAGATGAAGAGTTATGTATGTCACCAGGTCATGCATAGATGAAGAGTTATGTATGTCACCAGGTCATGCATAGATGAAGAGTTATGTATGTCACCAGGTCATGCATAGATGAAGAGTTATGTATGTCACCAGGTCATGCATAGATGAAGAGTTATGTATGTCACCAGGTCATGCATAGATGAAGAGTTATGTATGTCACCAGGTCATGCATAGATGAAGAGTTATGTATGTCACCAGGTCATGCATAGATGAAGAGTTATGTATGTCACCAGGTCATGCATAGATGAAGAGTTATGTATGTCACCAGGTCATGCATAGATGAAGAGTTATGTATGTCACCAGGTCATGCATAGATGAAGAGTTATGTATGTCACCAGGTCATGCATAGATGAAGAGTTATGTATGTCACCAGGTCATGCAGAGTTATTTCCTGAGAGGGTTAAAAAAAAAAAGAAAAGACAACGTACAATTCCTGGCCAGGAATAAGGCACTGCTTCTCCACCGCCCACGATTCTCATGTACAGCTCGGTAACACCGTTGTCAGCAAGTAGAGGTCTCTGCCCACATCCGGGGGCGTCTATCTGGCTTGTTTTACTATGGGAGATAAGTCAATCACGAACAACACTAAAATTTGTATAAATAGATGCAATTAGTTGATCACTAAATACAAAATAAATCAGTTATTGAAAAAAACAACAAAAAAAAAAACATCAAAGATTCTGTTTTTTAAATATTTTTTAAAATTATTATTCTCAAAAACCTGTGGCATTTCATAAAAGGATTGTTTCTGGTGATGTTTTTGTTTAAATTTGTGTTTCCCTTTTTACATTTCACAAAAGAGAACCTTTTCAATAAGTTGACTGCCTCCTTCCCTGATCTTTAGTGGAGGAGTTCATCTCAATATGTCTCCTCCATGACACATCAAGCAATATTTACCTACTTTTGACGCACTGTGACAAAAACCACCACAACTTTGCTATGAAAATATCTAATGGTAACCAATGTTCCCTGTAAGCTGCGCGGCCGCGCAGCTATTTCACAGACGCCGCGCAGCAGTTTTGAGTATCCGCGCAGCAAATTTCCATGTAACTGTGTGTTTGTATTTGTGGGCTGTAAAATTTTGCACACAAAAAAAAAATCGATACTGTAAACTTTTGCACACAACTGTATGATTTTTGCATACGAACCAGCAAACCTTAGGAGGGAGCATTGATCGTAACCCTCTAGTAAAAATAAAAACCAAACAAGGGGCTGCTTTGTAA